ATATATATACAGTATATGCAAAAAAAGGCCTCTAACACTAGCTTGCTCTATTCTTTTTCTATTTTATCTGTTTTATTTTTATTTATTATATAATTAAAAATGTACTGAGTTAAGCTAACTAAGACTTGTTATAGCACTTGCAAATCATTGCTCTTTTGTTGATTTTGATTGCTTCCTCATTTGTAAGTCGCTTTGGATAAAAGCATCTGCTAAATGACTAAATGTAAATGTTAATGTAAATATATGATTAATGCAATAAGGCAACGACTGCCTTAAGTCTGGATCTCATGGACATCACCAGAGACTGGGTTTCCTCCTTCGCGATGCTTTGCCAGGCCTTTACTGCAGCTGACTTCAGTTGTTGTTTGTGGCTTTAGTTTTGTCTTTAACAAGTGAAATGCATGCTCACTTAGCCATTGCAGAATATTCCACTGTTTAACCTTCAAAAACCCCTGGGTTACTTTTGCTGTGTTTTGGGTCATCGTCCATTTGTACTATGAAGCGCCGCCCAATCAACTTTGCTGCATTTGGCTGAATCTGGACAGACAGTATATCCCTATACACATCAGAATTCATCCAGCTGCTTCTGTCTTCTGTCACCAATAAACACCAGTAGCCAAGTGCCACTGGAAGCCATGCATGCCCATGCCATCACACTGCTCCACCATGTTTCACAGATGATGTTGCATGCTTTGGATCATGAGCTGTTCAAAGCATTCTCCATACATTTTTCTTCCTGTCATTCTGGTACAGGTTGATCTTAACTTCAGCCACAATGCTTTTGCGGAAGTGGTCTGGCTTTTTTAGATGTTTTTTGGCAAAGTCTAATCTAGCCTTGTTTGCACCTTGTGGTGAACCCTCAGACACGCCTACTTCATGGAGAGTGTTTTTCACTTGGCTGGATGTATCAAAGAGCTGTTATTCCTTAACCTTTCCTCCAATTGTAATGAGTACAATGAGTGCAATACTCTCGAATTAAAGCTCAGGGTGTGCACTTTAAGCCTGTATTAATTATATAACTGTAACTCGAATATGTTTTGGTCAGCAGCTAAAGTAATAAAAATGTTCATGTGTCCAAATAATATAACAAAGAGTGAAAAATTGAAGGGGGTCTGAATACTTTCCGTACCCACTGTATATATATGGTTACTTATATTTTAGTTACTGATGTTTTTATACTCATATTTTTTATATATATTATTATCTATATTGTGCAAAAGTACATTTTTAAAATACATTTTGCATTTAGCCAAAATGTATTTTAAAATAGGAAATTTTCTTGCCTTTTTTAAGTACATTTTGTAATATACTATGTTATTTGAAGGTTCAAATAAAAAAATAAAATGCAAAACAATACATATTCCTAAGCTGTGCTGTTTACACCATTATATATTGCTGTATGGAAAATGTTCTAAGCAATTTTATCAGACTATATTCAAGGAGGTTTTTTTTTTCTCCAGGAAGTTGTGAGACATAAGAGTTCAGTGTGGTCAACAGGCCAACTGTTCAGCTGACAAAACATGCTAATGTTTAAAACTATGAATTGAATGGGGTTTGCAAATGCTATTTGCAACTCAACTGCTTTAGATCACTTTGCATGGTATTTTACGAATGTCCCATTTGCTAACTATACCCATTCCAAATTCCAAACTGAGTGTGTACACACTGCTTATCCTACAGGAAACTGGATTTGAAAGGCATCTGATTGAACCATATTATTCTAGAGTATCTTCTAATCAGGCTGCACACACCCATCTTGATGTCTTCATTTCTGGCTTACTTCCTTCATCCCCTCATCATAGCTGGGCACTGACGTCACTCTCTGGTTCCCTGAACACAAACACACAGCTTATTGCTCTGTTTGGGATCTGGCACAGATAGGCCAGTGGAATCAGCCCACGCTGGAATGAGAATGCTCCTTTGGGGTGGATATGGAACCTGCAATGTTGGCAGACTCACTTATCGCCCGGCACACGCACATTCACAGTAAAAAAATAACAACCTTTACACAAACATCTTATTTCATCAAGAAACAACTCTCATGAGAGTGGAAAGTGGCTTTTGTGAAGCATGTTTATGTAATCAGGGTAAAATGAGACACGGACATTTAGATGCCCCTATATGCATCATTCACATTGAGGCAAGGTTTCCAAAAGGGGGTTCACAAGTTGGTGAAAAGTTAATTAATTAATAAAAATAAATAAATAAATAAATGGGGCAGCACAACTGTAAAAAATAAATAAATAAAAACTGAAATTGTGATATAGCTTAGTGTGATTATCAAATATTGTATTAAATATTATATACAAGTATAGCATCTCAGAGTTGCACGGTTCACAGTAAATGCAAACTCCATCTTTTCATTTGCTGAGCTTAGTGTCCATTTGGGAACATAATGTGCTGTAGGATCACTTTATTTACACATTCGCAAAATTTCAAACCTCTTTGTGGCCAGACATTTAGAGCATTTTACCGGTATTATGCCAAAATAAAAGTTTATGATTTAAGAACTTAAAAGCATGATAGTGTGAACTTTTTACAAGTGAAGACTTTAAGACACAAATATTAGTATTGTAATGTTGTTGAAAATAAAAGATTATGAAATATCACATATTATTAATTTTAATTATGTATATATAATGTATATTATAGTACATTTGTAATTTACAATATTTGTCATTTTTTTAATAATAAGAGATAAAACTACTTCTACAAAATAACTTTGTTTTGGTCAGTCATTAAGCCCTATATCTAAATAATTTTAAAATAAAAACAATCAAAAAAACATTTACATTTACATTTAGTCATTTTGCAGACGCTTTTATCCAAAGCGACTTACAATTGGGGAATACATAAAGCGATTCTTCTTAAAGAGGCAAACAGACACAGGAAGTTCTTGTAATACCAAGTTTTAGGCATTGTTCAAATAAGTACAAGCTAAAAAGGGAAGGAATAAATAAAGAGAAAGAAAAAGTTTTTTTTTTTTTTAAGATGAAGTCAAGTAGCGTTTAAAGAGATGAGTTTTCAGCTGTCGCTTGAAAATTGTCAGGGATTCAGCATTCCGGATAGGGGTGAGAAGATCATTCCACCAGTCAGGAACAGTGAACGAGAATGTTCTGGAAAGTGATTTTGAGCCTCTCTGTGATGGTACCACGAGGCGTCGCTCACTAGCGGATCTCAGACTTCTGGAGGGGATGTAGATTCGTAGTAGTGAGTGGAAATAGGCAGGTGCTGAGCCTGTGGCTGTTCTCTATGCAAGCATCAATGTCTTGAACTTGAT